GCGCGACTTGAAGCTGGAGTTCAGATTCGCAGTAGACGCGATACGTGTAAATGAACAAAATGCACCACACAAACTGCCGCGCGTATTTTTATTCACACTTCAAACGCATCAATCGCGCTACTTGCTCGTTTTCACGACGCAAATCTGTGCACCGTAACACTGCCTCTATAACCTTCCACAAGCTTGCATTGTTATTTTCTTTCTGCATTCTTCCTTTACCTCTCAACCTAATTAAATGTATTTACAACTGTCACTTTAAGGAGCTGGCATTCAGCTCTATATGTCTTTTAACCGTCACCAGTTGGGCAGGCTGTGCACCCTACTCCATCATTTAACCTGGATATGTGACCGGACCACTGACCTCATTCTAAATGTAAACAAAGCTGAGACCATGATTACCGCTCTGCTGTATCGTGAAATCATTCGGGCTCTTGCTTCTTCTTGCTGAACTTTTATTCCTCTGTGAGCTAAAATCTTTCTCTCGCTCCCATTTCCTTCATTTAAGGAACATTTCTAAACGACGAAACATGGTCTCCGCGGCTGAACTGGAGAAAATAATTCTTGCATTTGTGTCATCGTGTTTAGATTACTGTAATGTCCTGTTGACCTGCCCAGATAAATCGTTTCTTCCACGTTTCTGAGCAATATTAGCTGCAGCCAGACTATCAACACGTTCCAGTAGCAAACCTACATCACTCCTATTTTATATCCTTTACGTTGGCTCCCTGAAGATTCATTATAAAATTCTTGTACTTACATATGACGCACTAAACGGCTCAAGGCTGCCCACTACACAAACTGCTGCTTGCACTGTTTGATCACAGGCTCAGAATGAGTTAGTTGAGGAACAGAGACGTGCAGTCTGTGGCACTAAGACTGTGGAGCGGTCTCAGCTCAGATTAGCTGACTCTGTCCTTCAAAGCAGATCTAAACCTCCCTCTTTAAACAGGCTTTTTGTTGAGACTGAGTGGAACTTCTTACTTAACTAACTTTTACTTTTTTTCTGTGTCTCGACTGGATGTTACCTTCATTTTCATCTTTATTTTACTTTGATGTTCAGCACTTTGTGACTCCTAGCCTGTGCAGAGTACTTTCTAAATAAACTTTACTCACTTATTCACTAAGAGAGACTGCGTACACTCCCAGTGAGATCACATGAGACACTTATTTCTCAACCACAGTGAGAATAAGAGTGAGAAGAAACTCTAAAATAAACACACCAAAGACACCAACTTGACTTCTTACATTTCCTGTTGTTGGGCTGTCTGGAGCGTATTCTGCCCAGGGACCCAGGGACGAGGATGATGTCATCAACGCTGGTCAAATAGTTACTGAGGAACTCGGTGTGATCGCAGTGGGCCTCTTCCATACCTGTGAACATATGGGAACGTGAGCAGCTGAAGCCAAAAACCAAGTTCATGCTCCAATAGCTCATTCCAGTTTGGGTCTGGTTTCTAATCACTGGATTAAAGATTGTAATTAAACCTGGTGGAAACTTACCTGCCCTGATTATTATTGTCACCATACATATCTCAGCTGTAGCTACGTGATATAAGATTTAACGCAGGAAACTTTAGTGTGTTGGTCAGAGTGAAACGTTAAGATCAGCTGATGGCTTTTAATGTCCTCTACACGTCTAATTAGCTGTGAGCAAAATAATTATTTGACCCCTGCTGAGTTTGTAAGTTTTGTAAACTAACATAAAAATTAGAGACTGTTCATTTCAAGTGATCAAAATTACAAATGCAGGAGAGGAACATACAATCACTTCTTCCACTTGTATAGGCTGCGCTATTTAAGCTGCTGGTCTGCAGTTGCTGAGCAACTTCACCCCACTCCTCCTTTCAATCGTCAAGTATGAATTGAATACGGTATGTGCTGCTCGTTCACTGTGGCTTACACACAGCAAGCAGAAGGCAAACGTGTTGAGTTAGTGTGTATCCACTGTTATTTCATTTCCTCACAAGAACTAATGTGAATGATTACTGAAGAGTTCAGATCTTCTGCTGGTTATCTGTCTCAGGTGATTACATAAACTGTTTTAATGTGTATCACCTGTGTCTTAGTCACTGGTAGTCACGCAACTGGAATGAAGCAATGTTATTCTGTATAAGCCGCTTCTGCTTCACAG